CCAAAGTTCATTTGAGGATGAAATGGAACTCATGTCTTTAATTTAATTACAAAATTAAATTCAAACTTTTAGCTTCTATTTTTGAAACATGGTTAGAACTGTGTAGCGATAAAAACCATATTTTAAATCAATTAATTTATAATATTAATGCTCTGTAAATTTACATTGAGCACTATTTTGTAAAAAAAAAAAATATCTATAAGAACAACGGATTATATATCTTACTGATTATATATATATATATATATATATATATATATATATATATATATATATATATATATATATCGAAATAAAAGTATAAAACTGAATATTACGAGACATATTAAAACGGGCGAAAGAACAGAGATTGTGCAGCCAAATTTAGTGTTGACTGGTTCACCGTGTTGTCCTGGTCCCTTTTATTTCATCTAAAGGTTCTGGGGGCACTTTACATCGGGTCCCTTAAGCCTTCTTTTGTAAACAACTTGTGAATGTTTGCTGGGGCTCGCTGTGATTTGTCTGTAGTCCTTTTTTGCTATTTTTTCCCCATAACTTCCTTTTATTGTACATTTTTCTGTGTTAATTTTAAATTAAATCTCCTGTTGAAGCCTGAAGAGCGGGAGGGAAACCAGTTGTTTCGCCTGTTTTTTTTTAAATATGTCTCATAATATTAAGTTTTATACATTTATTTCGATCATTAAATTTTGTACCTACAAAAATCTTTATATATATATATATATATATATATATATATATATATATATATATATATATATATATATATATATATAAAAGAACAGTAAGATATATAATCCGATGTTCTTGTAGATATTTTTATTTTTACAAGATAGTGATCAATTTTTGCCGTCATTGTCATAAATTTTACTTTAATAATATATTAAAAAAAATGTAACCTAATATACATACTTATACTTGATGTAAAAATAATTATACATACTATAAGGGATTCTAATACATTTTACTGTTCTTAAAAAAAAAAATACTATAATAAAAATTAAAAATGAGAATATTTCAAATCGTAGTTAAATAAAAAGTATTCTAATCTGAACATCCCCGAATTTACAAATAGAAAAAAAATGCCGTAAGAATTTTTTTGCCGTTAACAATAAATTTAAAAAAAATCCAGACGACATGCATTCAACGGATGTCAGTTTTCATTGAAAAATACATCCCTACCCCTTACCAAAATGTAGATAATAACCGATACAATGATACAGACATAAGGAAAATCCAGACACCCCTTGTCCAGTTGAAGTAGATTTATCTGTCACCATGGAAACGTGATTTTAGCTGTGTCTTTAAAACCCAGTAATTTTAAAAGTTACTCCAAAATTCGCTTCAGGATGAAATGGAACTAATGTCTTTAATTTAATTACAAAATTAAATTCGTGGCTTTTAGCTTCCATTTTTGAAACATGGTTAGAACTGTGTAGCGAAAAAAAACATATTTTATATCAATTAATTTATTTATATATATATATATATATATATATATATATATATATATTTTATTGAAACTATATGAAATTAAAAACACAAGAGTAAAGTACAGTAAGCAGATAGATATTTAGATATTATAAAAGGCGGTGGGTTAAAGCCGTAGACGGAATGAGGACATATCCTCTTCCCGTGTGATGACAAGTCAGGCCTTTTCAAGTTGAGATGACGAGTGTCGTTTTACTTTTGATCTAACCCAAGCCTTTCTCTACATTTCGATTATTATTTTTTTTTTTTGCCAATCCTTTTGTCTTCTTTTTTTTTTCACACACAGCTTCCTCCTTTCCCGTTTTGTTTTCTTCCTTGATTACGTTTCCTATGCGTTTTTTTTTATGAGTTTTCACCCTCCTAACGTACCCACTTCTCTCTTTTTCGTCTCCCTACTTATTTTCACTTCTCCTTCATCTGCTCCACGTACGGATCCCTCATTCTGATTTGTTTTGTTTTTTTTTGTTTTTTTTTTTTTACTTTTTCTTATTATTTCCATCATTCTTGGTTCAAGGTGAATGACTTTTGATTGGAGATCGGAAAATTGAATGCTTTTTATTGACAGCAGATTCCACCCTTAAACTGTACCTCCTTAATTCCTTAATAGCGGACTGATAAGATTTCAATCTGCTGTCTGCAACAAAACAGCAAAATTCAGGTTTTGTACCAGTTTAACTTTATCAGAAAGTTCTGTTTTGAACCTGCAGGTAAGAAAAATACTTTTCTCTTTCTTTTTTTTCTTCTGTGGTGCTCGATTTCATGTCCATTCTTTATTTCTTTTTTAATTTTTTTTCTTTCATTCTTTCGTTCTTTCCTTTCTTTCTTTCTTTCTTTCATTCTTTCTATTTCATTCCTTTTTTTTTTCTTTTGTCATCTTCTCTCTTTCTGTTTTTATTTCATTTTTAACATTATTTCTTTCATTCTTTCGTTCTTTCCTTTCTTTCTTTCTTTTCTTTTTTTCTTTCTTTCTGTTTTCTTTCGTTCTTTCGTTTATTTATCGAAATATATTTCTTTATTTCATTTTTAGATTTATATCTTTCTTTTCTTTCTTTCCTTTTTCTTTTTTCTTTCTTTCTTTCTTCTTTCTTTCATTTATCTAAATATATTTTATCTTTCTTTTCTTTATTTTCTTTCTTCTTTCTTTCATTTATCTAACTATATTTTTCTTTCTTTTCTTTCTTTTCTTCCTTTGTTTCTTTTCTTTTTCTTTCTTTTCTTTCTTTCTTTCCTTTCTTTCTTTTCTTTTTTCTTTCTTTCTGTTTTCTTTCGTTCTTTCTTTTATTTATCGAAATATATTACTTTATTTCCTTTTTATCTTTCTATCTTTCTTTTTTTATTTTCTTTCTTTCCTTTCTTTCTTTATTTTTCTTTCTTTCTTCTTTCTTTCCTTTATTTATCGAAATATATTTCTGTATTTCCTTTTTATCTTTCTTTCTTTCTTTTCTTCCTTTCTTTTTCTTTCTTTCTATCTTTCCGTTCTTTATTTATCTAAATACATTTCTTTATTTCCTTTTTTATCTTTCTTTCTTTCTTTCTTTTCTTTTCTTTTATTTCTTTCTTCCTTCTTTGTTTTATTTATCTAAATATATTTATTTTCTTTCTTTCTTTTCTTCCTTCCTTTCTTTTCTTTTTCTTTCTTTCTTTCCTTTTTTTATTTATCTAAATATATTTCTTTATTTCCTTTTTATCTTTTATTCTTTCTTTCTTTCTTTGTTTTCTGTTCTTTTATTTCTTCCTTTTTTCTTTTATTTATGTAAATATATTTCTTTTTCTCCCTTATATTTCCTATATTTTTGTCTTTTTTTAGTCTAAAGTTACCTTCCTTCCTTCCTTCCTCCCATCCTTCCTTCCTACCTTCCTTCCTTCCTTCCTTTCCTGAGCTTGGTCAGTACCGAGATTGGTGAACCCTTGAGAATACCAGGTGTTGTAAGCGTGGATGTACGGGTGGTGTAATCGACAATGGCCCGGAATTGTTAATCGGAGAGCCGAGTTCTAATTCACGTCAGGTTCATTATATTCACTTATGCACAAAATGTCCTTGCCAAACGTATGAATCCAGCTCTTCTCCCTTTATCTATGGGTTAATTAGTATGATATGTATCATTAAACCATTATTAGACCCCCCCCCACCAAAAAAATATAAAAAAATTACAATCCAAAAAAGCATTTCTGGCTTTAAATAATCTGCAAAAGGTTGATAAGCCGTAAGAAAAGAATCCATCAATACATTAATTTCCAATGTAATTTAAAATCTAATTTCCTATTTTTTTTTTATCGCTATTTATTCCTGATTATTTTGATCGTGAGCCTCATTGGGAATCTAAAACACGTAGCATCATGACGAAGTTTTACCTTAATGATTACCATCCTCACCCAATTACCTGTTAGTCGTTTAGTAATTCCCATGTCTACTGGATATCACACAATCTCGTTCTTTCTTTCTTTCTTTCTTTCTTTCTTTATTTCTTTCTTTCTTTCTTTTGTCCATTATACCACACAGCATTTAGAGTTTTGTTTCTTTTCTTCGAATAACATTCGATATAGCGAAATTTTTTTTTAGAAAGGACTCAAAGAATGCATACTGTCAACAATGAGATTTACACTGAAACTGAATGAAGGTCAGCAAATTAGGAAATTCAAAGCAAGGGAGATAATTGTGTAAGTTTATATTTTTTTTATATAATGTTATCATAAGTTCGATGCTAACTGTTTCTTCTATTGCACTTCTTGCTTGTGAAACGCTCTTGCGGCCAATTGCATGTAAATCAAATTTGATCTTAAATCATTCATTATCAATCATTATCTTCTGTCTTCTTAATTTTCGTTTTTTTTATTTTTTATCTTTATTTTTTTTGTCTCCTAATATTGTTTTCATCTTGTTATTCTCTAACACAGGGACTCTATGCGTCTTAGCCGCTTTATTCATTGCTTGAGATGAAATGATTCAATATATATATATATATATATATATATATATATATATATATATATATATATATATATATATATATATATATATAAAAGAAAGAGGGTGTAGTGGTTCCAACGAGAGAGAAAGTATGTATATTAAAAAGAAGAAAAGAGAATTTGCCGCAAACGTTTTTTGGTTGTAATGTGATTTTTTTAAAAAAAAATATTATGCTTTATTTTCCATAATTTTACTACACCTGTTTCTGGTCTCATGACTGTTAATATATATATATATATATATATATATATATGAATTATTTCATTTCATATATATATATATATATATATATATATATATATATATGAATCATTTCACCATATATATATATATATATATATATATTGAATCATTTTATATATATATATATATATATATATATATATATATATTGAATCATTTCACAAATATATATATACATATATATTATATATATATCATTTCACTATATATATATATATATATATATATATATATATTGAATCATTTCACCATATATATATATATATATATATATATATATATATATATATATTGAATCATTTCACCATATATATATATATATATATATATATATATTGAATCATTTACCATATATATATATATATATATATATATATACACAACAAATGTAAAACTTCTTTTTAGTTTTAAACAGACACTTCATTCTTCATATAACCTCAATTTAATGTCATAAGGTTAATATCTTGCTTAATTTTATAAAACCTCTTCCCTTTATATAATAAACCGTCTTATTTTGTCTGGCTGAAACATTGAAACGGGGAAATTCTGTATTAATTTTTCGACGGCTGTATCAGTTAAGTTTCTAATTCCGACAGGAACTCAGTCTCTACACCGGGGTTGAATAAGATCGACATAGTTTTTGTCGGTTGAAATCGATCTAGCCCCTCAAATGAGGTAATTTTGGATTTTGTTGTGCAATACTATTTATTGGCTCTGTTATAATAAATAAATTGAGCTATTTTCGTTGATCAGATTTAATGTTTTTGTATTACTAGGATCTACTTGGACTATATACCAGCGGATTTTTTACCTTTACTATATATATATATATATATATATAAGCAAGCAAGTGTAAATGGATATAAATCCGACAGAATGAAGAAATTTTGAAAAAACAAACAAAAATCCTTAAATGTAGTTAAATGAAAGAAATGTCGACGTCTGACGTTTTCAGTTTTATTAAACCTTTTTCAAGACAATATTCATCAAAATACAATTCAGTTCAATATGACAAATACGATGGACATAAAAACACAAGTCTTATTCCGAACAGATAACTGAAAATTTTTAAAAATCAGCCTTATAACATGGTACGCTGTCGTCACATGGGCGATATATATATATTAAAGTTTGTGATTATTTTGAAATGAAAAAGAAAAAAGAAAAAAAAAAAAAAAGAAAAAGAAAAAAAAAGAAAATGAAAAGAAATCTATTAGGGTTCTAAAAATTCTTATGTGTGTGCTTGTCGAGCATCAATCTCGCTAAAAAGGAAATATTAAAGAAAAAACCAGGTCTAGTATTCATAGATGGATATTATACCTTCTTCATAAATCCTCCTGAGATTTTTATTATGAAAATATTTAAACTTTACGGAATCGAAATCGAAATTATGATCTGCTTTAGTTGTGTGTACAACTAAAGCATTGTTAAATATATATCTCGTTTATGTTCGAAAACACTTTTTAAGGACCTACCTGTTTCACCCACATTTTTAGGTCACAATTTTGCATGATATTTGATACAAGCATCGGATGTAATATGTTGTCTGCTGGTGCTATTTAATAAACTACGGATAGTCCTAGTAGGTAATATAGTAGTTCTAATTTTTAATGTTCATTTAGATTATGAAAATTGACTTTAAGCTACCTATCTCTATCTCGAAATGCATCAAATTATGCATCCTTTACTTCATTGTTTCTTCAATATAATAATATTTATTATAAACAAAAATTTGGTTTACCGATGGGGGAGTCCTCTCTCTGGATTTACTACATGCATATTTCTAATTTCTTGAATCTGGACCTTTTAAAGATGTCATTCCATCTGATGACTTTCACATCGATGACATTTTATTTATCTACCCACATAAGCATGATTTAAACGAGATTACTGATAGATTAAATAGAATAGAACCTACTATTGAATTTACCTATGAACTTGAATCTAATAATTCCTTACCTTTTTAGACATATTACTCATTAAAATAAAAAAATTAAATTAGAAAAGTATATCGTAAACCTACATGTAAAAATGACTATTTACATTTTACTCTCACCATGATACTAACACTAAGAGGGGTATTGTTATTGGATTCTATTTGAGGGCTCTTCTGCATCTGTTCATCAAAATATTTAAATGATGAATTTACATATATTGAGGATACCTTTTCAAATCTTTCGTATCTGGAGACAATTATTACAGAGAGCTAAAATAAAGCGTTGAAAATTCACTCATCAGCGCAAAATGACACCTCAAAGGCCACTACAAATAGATCAATGAAAGATACAATTTCAGCTACCTCTGATAATATTTCGTTTGGTCGCATCTTTTTACCAAATAACCATTTGACCGAACGTATCTCTCATAATCTAAATGCATTAAAATTAGAACTACTATATTACCTACTAGGACTATCCGTAGTTTATTAAATAGCACCAGCAGACAACATATTACATCCGATGCTTGCATCTATCAAATATCATGCAAAAATGGTGACCTAAAATAGAAACCTGTGGGTCCTAAAATCTCGTGTTTTCGAACATAGATATTCGTTGTAATTTTAACAATGCTTTAGTTGTACACACAATAAAGCAGATCGATTTGATTCCGTGAAAGTATTAAAATATTTTCATAATAAAAATCTCAGGAGGATTTATGAAGCAGGTATAATATCCATCTCACGCACGGTGAATATTTTAGACCTGGTTTCTTTAATATTTTCCCTTTTTTAGATTGAATACACATAAATTTTGAACCTAATAGAATTCTTTTTTCATTTCTTTTTTCTTTTCATTTCAAAATAATTACAAACTTTTAGGAATACGTTATGAAAGCGTCGCCCATGTGACGACAGCGTGATTGTTACGGAATGATCATTTTAAAAATTTTCAGTTATCTGTTCGGAATAAGACTTGTTTTTTATGTCCATCCATTTGTCATATTGAACTGAATTGTATTTTTATGAATATTGTCTTGAAAAAGGTTTAATAAACCGAAACGTCAGACGTCGACATTTTTTCATTTAACTACATTTAAGGATTTTTGTTTGTTTTTTCAAAATTTATATATATATATATATATATATATATATATATATATATATATATATATATATATATATATATATATATATATATATATAATTAATTTCTATATATTCTATATTTTTTCTACATATTTCGAAGAGATTCTGGAATCATTTTTTTTTTTCTTAATAGCCCTGACCTAGTCCGAGAATTCTTGGTGAGTTTTTGGGAGGTGGAGATCAATGTTTCCCCTCT